CGGCGTCGTTCTTAATATTGAAGATGCCACCACACAACTAGACATGCCTTCAGCAGCTCTCTCCATATCACGTGAAGTCTGCACTCCCTTGTCAGCGCCGGTGACTGTACCAGGTAGGTACTCGACTTCTCTCGGCTCTCCCACGTTTGTACCTTGCCCAGGCATGCCAGCGTGCCAGGCCAGGCTATCATCTCTACATAGCGTACCCAGTAACTACACGGCTTTCATCTTCTGAGCGATGCGACCAGCCAGCCAGTCAGCTAGCCAGCCAGCCGATACATAGGCCCGCGCCTCCTAGCGTGGCTTGCAAGGCTGTCCACCACTGGTCCTGCATGTGGTAGCCTGGTAGCCTGGTAGCCTGGTAGCCTGGTACACTGTAGGGAAACCCACTTTGCACCTACTCTGCAAACGGCCCAGCAGAGCACGTTCTGCTGCAACCTCCCCCTTCCCCTCCCCCCCAATCTCAGCCTTCGTTCAGATATCCACAATGTAAGGCCCCGGATGCGCCGGGCAAACGATGGTAGTAGTCCCGCGTCGCGAGCGCGTCGTTGTCAGCTTCGCATTTGGTCAGATAGTGTACCTAGCTACCGCAGATTGAATTCGGTTGATCGACATGCGGCTGCACTTAGTTAGCGCGATGCCTTGTCCACACTACCTACATACCCAGCCCAGCTACCTACAATACTACCCTATCAACATGCAAAGACCCCGAAAAAGAAATCACCCGAGCGGAGAAACAAACACAATCGCCATCTACATCTGCACTATACAAACCTACCTGCTCAACTTTCCCCCACGTTTGCGCGCATCCAGCCCTAGAAAAAAAAGCATGGGCTAAGGCACTACCGTATACTCTATTTCAAACAAGATCATCATCATCAAATACATGGGTCAACTGCTGGCACTCCGTCCCTACCGGTATGTAATCCCAACTCTCGGCCTCATCAGCGCAACGAGGTGATTTGGTCGACCCTATGTACGGTACTAAGGGCTTACTTACCCACATCCTTGCTCCCTTTTTTTTTTCACACTTACACCTACATGTACATACAATGTACATGCCATGTACACATGGCCCACAAACCCACAGAGACACGCTCATCGCGGTATTCGCTGCGCAACCAAAGAAGAAGAATACGCAATCTGTCATCTTCTTGTCGCAATCTCTCTCCCCTTCACTCCAATCTACCACTCTACCTATCTACCTACCTACCGTGAGAGCCCCGCCAACGGTGCAACCAATCTCGCAGCCAAACGCTGTTTTCTGTGCCACACGTGCATTCTGGCCTCACTACGGTACAAAACCGGTTTACAGTAGCCATATTTATCTAAAGTAGACCACAAAGTAGTTTAAGTACAAGAAGTAAACCTAAATAGTGTAACGACTCAGGTAGGTAGGGCATCCAAAAGGTATCCTATAGGACTTAAAGACATATAGGAGTGCGCGTCTGTATAGAAAAGGATAAG